ATTTCTTTGAGTGTATGCGCGTTTTCACCTGGATGAAATGGAGGAGGATGACTGTCTGGCGGAGTTCAGAGTGAGAAAGTGCGACCTTCCAGTGTTGGCAGATGTGCTCGGAATTCCAGACAAGTTCATCTGTGATCAGAGAAGTGTCGTGGGAGGGATGGAGGGCTTATGTATGCTCCTAAAGAGGCTGGCATATCCATGCCGGTATAGTGATATGATAGTTGCCATAGTGATATGGCAAGATTTGGTCAGCAGCAAGTACCTGTCCTGAGCATGGCCACAAATTGTGTTCTCGAGTACACCTATGACAGACACCACCACTGAATCACTCAATGGAACCACAGCATATTGAACCCTGCAGCTCTACAAATTGGATCCACCAGATGGGAGCACCTCCTGATTACTGCTTTGGGTTCACAGATGGCACGGTGCGACCCATAGCCAGACCCGGGACCGATCAGCGGACTCTGCATAACGGCCACAAGCGTGTCCACACCTTAAAATTCCAGGCCACAGCACTTCCCAATGGATTAATTGGCAACATCTATGGTCCAGTAGGTAAGAACAGAGTAAATAAAACACACGAAACATAAAGAGCACTCTCATAGAGAGCAACAAAGCACAATGTGAAACATAAAAATAAATGTACATAATTGGCTGCATTAACTAAGGGAAGGTGAAAGGAAACTTCATTCCAGTCTGCATGTAATACAGCAACGTAACTTAAATGTCCTGTCTTACACCTGACCGTCAACACAGACAGATGCTCTGCCTCTCACGCATGGTCATACATAATATTCTTATTTGTTTAAACGCAAAATTATGAAATTAACTTAAACTGTATGGCAGCTCTGTAAAATGGAAACATGCGTTATGTGTTATTACGTTAATTTTCACAATATATAGGCTATAGGCCATCATATATTATCAGTCCTTAAGCCCCTACTGTGTAGGCCATGAAGTAAGTGTGTGTGTGTGTGTGTGTGTGTGTGTGTGTGTGTGTACGCTAAATCGGCCTAAATGTAATATAACCTATTGTTTTTGCCTTACAGAGGGGAGGAAACACGACTCTGGGATGCTTGCTGATTCCAACCTGTTAAGTGTCCTGGAGGAGCATGCCATTTCTCCAGCTCCATTCCCCCATGGCCAGCTCACGCCACAAATGCAGGCTTTCAACAAGGCCATGAATGAAGTCAGGGTGTCCATGGAATGGTTATTTGGGGACATAGCCAACTATTTCAAATTCATGGATTTCAAAAAGAACTTGAAGACTGAGTTGAGCAGTGTGGGTAAACTTTATGTAGTATCTGCTCTTCTAAGGAATGCATTAACATGTTAGTATGGAAATCAAACCTCACATTTTTTTGGCCTTGACCCTCCATACATTTAGGACTACTTTTCATAAAATAGGTGGTGGGAGGTGATTCATTTTTCATTTTCTTCTTTTGATTTGTAATGTTATACACAAGGTTATTCCAGAGAGAATAGTCTTCACTTATAATGGGTAATGGGGATCCACAATAAACATTATTATTTGTATTCTGGATGTGTATTTTTGCTATGTGTGATCATTGTTTACAAGAACTGAATAGAAAAAAATGTCTTCTAAGTCCTGATATGAATCATACTTTTTTATTCAGTTTACAAAAATCCATAGCTGGTATTCATTTAAGGAAAATAATATGGGACCTCCTGGCAGCTGTTAAGGGACTCTGCCACCCTGTTCCACATCTTGCCTCTCTCTACACTGCCATTCTTATGTTTGAATGGCTCTGTCACTAATATTTCCCGGCACAGAAAGATGTTGTGGGTCTCCGTCCACTCCGTTGGGGGCCTGCAGAATAACAACATGAACATCAAAGTTAGTTAGGAATGGAACAGAGACTAATGTACATAGTATTTATAGGGTATACTGAGAAATTATACCGTATGCAGTGCAAGGATGAGGGGAGAATATAGTCTATAGCAGAAAATACTTCACTATGGTTTTTATACAGTGAAATACACATTGTATCCTGCGTCTGTGGGAAAGGATTGCTAAAACATGTAATATATAGTGTGTCACTATCAATTGTAGAACACGTTTCATTTCAGAAATATAATGAAAATCATTTAATTCACTCACCTGAACCACGCGTTGTAGCGACTACTTGAGATGCTTTGTTTTCTCATAGTGAGTCAGCGGGCTACAGCAGGCAACGCTGGCACTATGGCTTAAGTCTCGATCAGTGAGCGCAGATCTATTTCCGGGAGCTGTAGCTGTGGCAAAATCCGCCGCTGCTTAAAGTCCCTGTTAGCAGAATAAGGTTGTTGTCGTACTGCTGCTTCAAGAATATAAGCAAAACAAGCCCGAAAAAGGCAATAAGAACGCCGTCGTCAAGCATCTCGTTATCCGGAACGAGGACTACAGTTTTTTCTTCCGGTAAACATAAACACATAACATCTGCCCCGCCCCCTATCCAATCAGAAACCTTCCCTGCCCCAAACCTTGCGGACCTGAATAAAGGCGATTAAAAAGGCGTTTAAACTGATCTTCCGTGTAAACCCTCATTCGGAATGAATATTTCCCATGTAAACTACCTGGAAAAACTTTAATTCCGAATGATTACATTCAGATTTATTTCACTCCACATGAGAAGCCATCATGTAATCGCATCCTCTGACAGCAATATTCACCTACATTAGGTGCACTATTACTTTTACATGAAATTACTACTTCAGTATCTTGTGCAATATTTTCTTGACATCATATGCAATTTTACTTTTCAATAACATGATAACTTGTCAATTTAGTGCAATATGATTTTCTTAAAATCATGTGCAATAATACTTGTTATTGTCATATTATATATAATATAACATTGATTATCAGGAACGTAGTTCATTGTTTAAAACTCTTGTACTTATCTTACTTCCATGTAAGTGTTGTGACTGAACCCAAATGCAGCACTCTGAGGCAGGCACACAGTTGGTAATGACCTGTATGATACACAAGGTAATAGAAACTCGAGCAGACGGTTAATTCTTCGGGCTCAGAGCCCTTACACAGTTTTTGGGTTCAGGGTCAAGGAAATAAGCCGATAGGTAAGTAAAAGGACACACACACACACAAGGCAGCGTGTGGTGTCTCACAGCAGGCAACTGACAGCAGGTTGGAACACTCAATTTAAAACGTTGTGGCAGGAAAACACCGCACAGCTATAGGCAGAAGGAAACCAGAGACGCTGAGGCAGAACTTGTGGTCAGGGACAGAAGGCTGGTGAGTTTACCCGGAAACAGATGACGTAGACAGGTCAGGAACAAGCAGGGTCAGTACCGGGGAATCAAGCCAAGAGTGAGTGCTGGAATGTCTTGCATGAGGTTTTGCATTGCACAGTCTGGCAGGGAGGGAAAGGCAGCAGCTGCTTATATGCAAGGAGTGCTGATGAGGAGCAGCTGTGTGCACAGGTGAGTGGAGCTGTCTTGATGAGGGGGCGTGGCTGGCTAACAGGGTGCAGGTGAATGGAAATTTACCAGGAGCAGGTGAGGGAGAGAAGCAGACTGTGACATTCCATTGTTACGCCTCTGTTACGCACTAGTTTTTGCTTTTTGCTCCTTAAAGCTATAGTGCCTAACTTCTGTCGCCTCCCAGCGGATAATGCGTTATTACAACTAATAAGCTGGCGGCACTTCCATGTACACAGAGTAACACTTGCAACACACCGTGTACACGGAGTAACACTCGCCAGCCGCCACACAACGTGTACACAGAGTAACACTCGCCAGTCACCACACACCGTACACAGAGTAACATTCGCCACACACCGTGTACACAGAGTAACACTCGCTTCACACCGTGTACACAATGCTACACAACGTGGCGAACACCAGGCTGCTAACATTACATTACGTTCATAGCACCATTTCCAAGAAGAAAATAATAAAGTACTAGGTCCAGTACATGTGACAGCAACTCATACTACTCATAATATAATTATAAACCAAGTCACTTACTTATCCAACAGCAGCAAGGCAACATCCGTGTCTGCCCTCAGCCCAATTTCTTCCTTCAGGGCTCTCCACCAAGGAAAAGCGACGCCAATACAAATCCTTGTTTGCCTTCTCCGTCGGTCACTTTCCTTCTTTGCTAACAGACCTTCAGCCGAACGTCCAGGCTTTTTCTTTGTGGTAGGATCCACTTCTGAACCGTGTCCCGGCCGCTTCTTTGGGTTCTCCGCCATGTTGCTTTCTCTTTCTACCTGCGCTCTACCTCTTGCTATGAGACTCTCCGCTCTTCCTCCCCCTCCCTTCTTGTTGTGAGGAAGCATTTCCTATGCGCCAGTGCGGGAATGTCGCCGGTTGACATGCAAACTAAAAATGATATATATTGAAAAATATTGCGAGATGTTGGAGGAGCCGATCGGCTTAATCAGCATTGTGTCGTCTCCTCTAATAGTGGCTTGGGTGAAACGGACATTTACGGACCTGTAGAAGTTACGCACTATAACTTTAAACACTTTATCTTCTATATTTTGAATATTTTACTGATATTTAATACTCTATTGTTTTAAAAACTAGGCTCAGTGTGTAACCCTGACCCAGAGAACCCACTGATTGTTCTGGTTTTGTGGTTACTGGATTGTGAAGGTTAATTGTTGTTTCTGAAATTGGGGTTACTGTAATTTGAATCATTCTCCAGCACAAGAATTTGCTTCAGGATAAACAAAGTTCTATTGAACTGAACTGAATTTAATCAAATGTGTGGTAGTGAGTTGACTCAAGAGGGCAAACTGTGTAGCAGTCACCGCAATGTCTCCAATATGCTCTATGCCCGCACAGTCATGTTCACTGCAGCAATTTACTCGGATTTACGAAAATGATATAAAAACTATAAAAACTTAAATCGTACTTGGTTATATGTATTTACAGTATTGGAAGATATAATTGAAAACTGTTGATGCTGTGTTTTACAATTAGTCAATGCTATTTGATGTGCTCTCCACAGCTGAGTATGACAGTACCTGGGCTTGAGGAAGGGAAACGTCCATGATGACTGGCTGGCCATGAGGCTCCCAATTCTCTAACCTGGAGTAGACCAGCTGGTAGCCTCTGATCTGGCCATGCTGCTTCACAGACAGGGGAGGCTTCCAGGTCACCCTGATGGCAGTGGAGTTGAGCGCATCTGCCTCCACCTTCCTGGGAGGAGCTCCAGGCACTACAGCACAACAAAGCACACAACATCCATTTTAGAGTCTTAAGGGGGATTGAAATATTCTTTTTATGCCTCCACACTGGCAACAGCTGTGGCTGGAGGCATTATGATTTTGGGTTGTCCTTCTGTTGGTCTGTCTGTCTATCCAGTCATCCCATTCTTGTGAATGCAATACCTCAAGAACACCTGATTAGATTTTGGTTGTCGTAGGTCAAGGTCAAGGTCACTGTGAGCTCATTTGTCTTAATTGCGTGAATGCCAAAATTCAGGAACTCCTTCAGGGAATTCCATAAATTTGGAACAAATGTCCACTTGGTCTAAACGATGCACTGATTAGAAATTGGTCACAAAACATGTTTTGGGCCAAAACTCAATAATTCATACACTAATTATACAAATTTCTAATAGAATAAAATAATGAAGTGATGACATTTTATGTCCAAATTGTCAAAGGTCAGCGTAACTGTGATGTTCTGCATTAACACTTTTCTAGCCATTATTCAACATCTTATCTCAGGAACAGAAAGGGAGACATTTGGTCAGATACTGAATTGGTGACACTAATCTTGGGGGTCCACCTTGAAACTGTGCTGATTGTATAGATCTTCTGTGCTGCCAGGGGTAAGGTATGTGAAGCATCCATGTTTTTACAGACATGGATGTAAACTGTAGCTGCAACTTGACTGGTTCACAGAGGCATACAACCACAAAGTGGTAATTCTAGTTTTGTATCTGCATTTACTTTTTGGTCACAACTCCCATTCACTCATACTGCCACAGTAAACTGTCCAATTCCTGCTCAGAAGGTACTGATGAACAATGTCTCTACAAAGATGTACTGATTAAATGTTAATTGCCCTCATTTTGATCTGTGATTACTGAGTATCTGCCAATATTTAGATAGATCTGACAGTTCAACAGCTGCACTGTAGGTGAAGGTCCTTCAATCATTAATCATCCAACACCGCTTATCCTGCTTATCCTATTCGGCGAAACTTGTTGTTTTATTTATAAAGTTTCAAATGATGATTAAAAGAAGAAGCAATTCAGCCCTCTTGTGTGTGATGTATCTGCTCATTTACTATCACACTTAAACTGATTTTGATTTTTTTTTTTTTTTTAGGTGGGCAAAATAAATCAGATTTATGTGGATATATTATAAGATTTCTACCACAGCAGGATTACACATCATAACAACAATTTAAATGTCCAACATGTCAGAAGAACATGTGCTGGATAGAAGCAAACTTGTGTAAAGCCTGTTGTCACATATGTGATTTCTCTATCCTAATCTGATAAGTAACATCAGATTTGATCTGATAAGAAAGTTCTAGTCCTAGAGAAGGTACAAGGTAATGTTAAGGTTACTAGCTATTTTTGCAGGTGACACACATCAAAGCATGTCACATAGCATGTCAAGAGGGTGCCTAGAGCAAGGTTTATTCTACTTTATAGAATATCAAATTGAGCACATGAAGATTCATCTAGAATGCTTGATCAGCTTCAGAGGGAGTTGGAAATGAATACAAATTTCACTTCATTAACAATGAGGTTGTGCAAATATTAATTTAATTCAAGACAGACAAGGAGAGGAAAGGCAGTCTTACAGGAAACACCCTGTACTAAAAGATTAAAACATAGAAAGTTGTAAAGCAGCCGCACAGCCAGCAAACTAAGTTCTGTATTTTGTTGTCAGTTCTATGCACTTTAGACTAATTAGAATTGTTTAACCCCATATAGTATCCGCAAGCTTCCAGCACCACGCTCCAAGTTGGAGAAAAAACTTTATTAAACTTCTGGTAAATACAAATCTTCTGACTGTGGTGTGGCCGAAGAATGAAAGACCGATGGAACAGACAACAACACAACAATACAAGACAACAATATAAGTAACTTTCGGATGTTCATCAGTGCTGTACATTCAAAAAAAAAAGTGCACATACAAAGTGCACCCTGCTGAGAAGATTCTCTTTGCCAGCACCTTGAGGTGTTAGTATACATACAGTACATTTGTGCACACTAATGAGCAAGGAAATGTCTGTCTAACTTACTTTTAAGGCACCTGAATATCTATACTATATGCACCTAGCAGTTGCTGCACATAGACGTTAACATTTTACATCTATAGTTTATTTACAGCTACAACATCTACCACCCAAGGCCAACTACCACTGTCCTTTACAGCAGATGAGGTGAGGGCGGAGTTCAGGAGACTGTGTACAGGGAAGGCTGCAAGCCTGGATGGAGTGTGTCCAAGGCTCCTGAAAGACTGTGCAGCCCAGCCAGCGGAGCCCCCAGTGGATCTTCAACAGGAGTCTTAGAGCAGACAAAGTCCCAGTGTAGTGGTAAACATCTTGTCTCGTACCAGTGCCCAAAGTGGGGCACCCAGACGAGTTAAATGACAACTGACCGCTGGCCTTATGATCACACATTATGAAGACCCTGGGGCGCCTGGTCCTCCGTTTCCTGAGGTCAGAGGTCACTGATGCACCAGTTTGCCTATCAGGAGCCCACTGGAGTGGAAGATGTGGTTCTTTACATGCTGCATTGGGCCTACACCATTCTCGGAACCCAGTCGGCGTCTGACTTCCGGCAGACGGCGATACAGCCTCTGGGGGCAGACCCCCGATTTTTTGGCATTCCGGTTTGATTTGGACGGAGGAGGTGAATTTCTGTTTCCGACTTCCGTTTATATATAAGTAAACATGCTGAACCATTGCGATGGATTCAAAGTTTGCAGCGATGCCAATTATGTTCTGCCTCATTAGTTCACCGCACGGACCGTTTAATCTGGCAACAACTGCAGCTGGCTCAAACGTGATTGGTCAACATCACGCGGACTACAAACAGCCTACAACTGGAAACCAGGGCTCTTCCGCTCTTCTTCCGGAGGCAAGATCTCCAGGATTTGCCTACAGACTCTACATTCACTGAATGTAGAGTCTGTATATAGGGACTAGGCCTACACCTACTTGGAGGAGCCGGGATGTTGTGTGAGGATCCTTTTCCTTGACTTTTCAAGTGCATTTTTTTTTTAAACAATATATTTATTGATTTTTTTTGCCCTTATACAACGAATAAGACATACATTGACAAATGACAATACAACAAACAATACACACAATGGCATATATATATAACAATAACAAAAATAATACACAAACAAAACTACATCTAAACAAAAATGACTGACAACACCCTACAAAACAAACACAAAAACAACAAAAAGGAAACAAAAAAACAAAACAAACAACAAGGCACTTAGCTATAGTGTAACCCTCTAAGCCTAGAGCACGACAACCATGCGTCCATAGAGGGTTCATTCATCAAATCTCATGGTCATTCACTAGATGAGATAGATCATTATTTTTGACATATTGAGCAAAATGACCCCACACATTCTGGAACACGTCTTGTTTATCTTTTAGAATATAGGTGATTTTTTCAAAGGGTAAACACAGAGATAGGTCCTTTAACCATTTCGCAATGCTTGGTTTGTCTGTATGTTTCCACGATAAGGCAATAACTCTTTTAGCTTTTAGTAGACAGTTATCTATTAGAATTTGTTCATTACATTTCATCTTATGGCCATCTGGGTAGAGGCCCAGTATAAATAATTTGGGGTCCAACTCAACATTGACCAGTGAGATCTTTTGAACCTCTTGCCTAACCTCCTCCCAGAATTCCTGTACTTTTGGACATGACCAAAGACAGTGGAACAGAGTGCCTTTGTCTTTTCCACATCTATTACATAAATCTGGTATTTTATCATTAAATTTATTAAGTTTTTCTGGTGTTATGCATGTCCTCATCAGCCAGTTATATTACAAGAGTTTTAGACGTGTATTACTCGTCTGGGTTTGGGCCACCTTACAGGCCTTATTCCACTGTTCCACTGTTAAATCCTCCTTTAAATCAGATTTCCAAGCATTGCGTTTGTGGTTAGAAGATTCTGGAGAACTTGCTAACAAAAGATCATAAAATTCAGATATAATACCTCTTCCAAACGGGTTTTTGTTTAAAGCTTTCTCCAACACAGACAGAGGAGGGATCTTCATGGAGTGACCCTGGTTAGACCCAATAAAGCTCCTTAGTTGTATATATTTAAAAAAAATGTTTACGAGGAATGTTAAATTGAGCAACTAGTGCTTCAAATGATAACAAATTCCCACTTTGGCAATCAAAAATGTCCTTTAGCTGTCCCAAACCCTTATCAGCCCAAATCTTAAAGCCCCCATCAGATTTTCCTGGGGTGAAATAATCACTGCCCCAAATTGGGCTAAAGCGAGAGATGGAAGAGGTATCTTTTAAATGATTTTTAACCTGCTGTCAGATACCAATCATATTTTTAACTATGGGATTAGTTGTAAATTTTTTGATATTTTTAAATGAATTTGAATATATGTAATTAGGGATGTCCCGATCCAGCTTTTTCACTTCTGATCCGATACCGATATTACAGCCTTGAGTTTTGGCCGATACTGATACCGATCTGATCCAAGCGCGTATTATACATATTCACTTATTTTGTTGTCAGTCATGTTAGAAAAGGTTTGATCAAGCAAGATTACTCTAACAAGAACAACTACTCAATCAGGTTAGTTAGAATGATCCACAACAGTTGGTATGAGAAACTGACCTGTTTATTGTTAACAGGGTTAAATAAACTAACTTTAAATTTGAACATTAACATTAAATTAAAAATATAGCTGGTTTGCTTTGGCCCCTTAATAAATAGAAAATAGATCAACACAAGAAATCTTTAAAATGTCTAACAATGGAATTAAAATAGCAGCAAGACTCCACACACTTGTGCTTTGGCCCCCTAATAAATAAAAGAAAGATTAACACCACAAGACATTGTTGGCCTTTAAACAAACAATGCAGCCTTTCCTTTTCAGTTATTTTAGTAGTGTTTTTGTAGTCCATCCATGGCTCCAATTTCACTAATTGTGCCCAAAACAATGCCATCAGTGCTCTTTACTTAAACAGTAAGAGTGTAAACTAAATAAAAATATCACTCTCAAAAAACCAGAGCAGAAAACAAATAGTCAGTTAACTAAGATGACCGCTACTCTTCCTATCCTCCGTGTGTGTGTCTGCCGTCTGCATGCTGGCCTGGTGGATTGATAGTAAGAGGTGGATGGATCACTGGAATGGACTGCTTGACTCGCGGAGCGCTGGGCTGGCCGGAAAACCTGGAGCGGATTCCGTGAAAAACTGGATCAGAGTTCTTGGATCGGCATTTTTCCATGCAGTCCGATCCAATGCCGATGCCCATTTTTTGCTAGTATCGGCGGCCGATACCGATCCGAATATCGGATCGGGACATCCCTATATGTATTAGGTAGTGGGAGCTTTAGGGAACAAGATTCAATACCTCTCCATGTAGGTGATCCCTTCTCTGTGAGATAAAACATTAAGGTTCTCAATTGAGTCGCCCAGTAATAGTACAGCATGTTAGGGCACAATAATCCTCCCCTATCATAAGGCAAATATAAAAAGAGATAAACGAAGCCGGGGGCGTCTATTATTCCAAATGAAATCACAAAATACTTTTTTTCATTTTACAAAAGAAGTCTTTTCAAGTGCATTTAATACTATCCAGCCCCCCATACTGAGAGACCGGTTGGAGGGGATGGGAGTAGATAACTTCCTGACCTCCTGGATAACAAACTACCTGACACAGCAGCCTCAGTATGTCAGGCTTGGAAGCTGTGTCTCTGGGATGGTCAGGAGCAGCACAGGTGCTCCACAGGGAACTGTTTAAGCACCGTTCCTGTTCACACTCTACACAGACGACTTTAAGTGCAACTCAGGGTCCTGCCACAAACAAAAATACTCTGAAGATACAGCTATTGTGGCTTGTATCAGGAGCAGGAGTACAAGGACCTTGTGGATGCCTTCAGGGACTGGTGCAGTAAGTGCTGTCTCTACCTGAACACAGCCAAAACCATGGAGATGTTGGTGGATTTCAGAAATAGAGGCCAGTCTCCATACAGGGGGAGGACATTGCGGTGGTGCACACCTACAAATATCTTGGAGTCCTCTTGGATGATAAGCTGGACTGGTCCTCTAACACTAAAGCCCTCTACAGGAAGGGGCAGTGCCACCTGTTCTTCCTGCGAACACTGAGGTCCTTTGATGTGTGTGTGGAGATGTTGACCATGTTCTATCACATGGTGATGGCCAGTGCACTCTTCCCTGCTACAGTGTGCTGGGGAGGCAGCCTTATGGACAAAAACACCATGCGATTGGACCAGCTGGTTAAAAAAGCTGGCTCAGTGCTCGGCAGGAGACTGGACCCAGAACTGTGGTGGAGAGAGGCACATTGAACAAACTGAAAGCTGTAATGGACAATAGTAGACACCCTCTCCACCAGGGGCGATTGCTCTGAGACAACAAGGGAGGCTGAACTTCCCCTAAAATTTCATAGAAGAAATGGTCAATATGCACTATTGAATTTACATTAAAATAAGAATTTACATTGCATTAAACGTGTGCTAGGATGCGTTTAACATCATGACTATGATGTTCAAACATCAGCTGTTTATCACCAGTTTTCAAACGCGACCTCCCTGTCATACATTCTTGTGTCAGCACGGTGGACGCGGAGCCTCCAAGCATTCCTATGAGACGGCGCTGAGCAGGTTTTTTTTATACATATGCGACAAAATTGGCACTTCCAGGGAGGCTCAGCTTCCCTGGGACCTAATGGAGCGGTAGGTGGGAGAGGACGCTCAGTGTACGCATGATGATTGGAGGAATTAATTTCCATAAGCGATATAGCTCATTTTCTATGGCATGATTGTGGTTGAAAAACGGCTTCCATTAAATGTTCCTTTGATAAGTTACTGCCTCGCTACAACATGACATATTTTATGATGTAAACTTAAAGTGAGCTTCCCCTGTTTGAAAGACCAGCAGCTGCCACTGCTCTCCACAGCCTCCTGGATTGACAGAGGAGCAGCTGCAGCAGTCAGCTCATCTCACTGCGTTGCAGAACAGAGCGTTTCAGGCGATCCTTTGTCCTTTGTGAGTGGATTCAGTCACACACACACACACACACTCTCACTCATCAGCTTAGCCACAACTGGATTGGGCTGTGGAATGGGCATTTTTTATTTAATTTTTAATTTCTATTTAAATGCACTTATTTTCAATTATTTTATTTTCACTGTATTATTGTTGATGAGGGTGTAGGGAATTATAATAATAGGCCTCACCAAGGGGCACCATTAATGTTGTAAATTATACTAGTAAGTAAGTAAGTAAGTAAGTAAATCTTTATTTATATAGCACCTTTCACAGCTCGAAGTCACAAAGTGCTTCACAATAAATATACAAACAGTTAAATAAATAGAAAACACAGCAAGTACAAACAGCAAAAAATACAGTGCAACCGAAACATGATCTACTGTATATACAATCTATATAATTACTTACAATTGCCCAAATGCCTGCCTAAAAAGGTGAGTCTTCAATTGTATCTTAAAAATGTGGACACAGTGACCCCATGTGGTTGATGACCTTAGAGACCGTAGAGTCATCCGCAGTAATAGTTGGAGGAAGTTGTTTGCCATCCAATTCTTGATAGCAGACAGACATTCATGGAGTATGTTGATTTCGTCTATGTTATCTGGTTTAAATGACAGGTATAGTTGGATGTCATCTGCATAACAATGATAGGAAACGCCTTTGAAATTATTGATGATACGGCCAAGGGGAAGCATATACAGGGAGAACAGTATAGGGGCCAGAACAGAACCCTGAGGCAGGCCACATGACAGTGGGACAGAATCAGACACAAAAAGGGTAACAGCTACTGAGAAGCTTCTCTCACTGAGGTAGGAGGCGAACCACTTCAAGGCACTCCCCAAGACACCCACCTACTGAGCCTGTCGAGCATCATATGGTGGTCTACAGTATCGAATGCTGCACTCAGGTCTAATAACACCAGTACAGAGCATTTACCCGCATCGGCAGCCATCATGATGTCATTAGAGACTCTGAGGAAGGCTGTTTCTGTGGAGTGCTGCTGCCGGAAACCAGACTGGAATTTATCTAACAGGCCTTGGGTGGTCAAGAAGGAGATAAGTTGGTTTGCTACTACTTTCTCAAGGATTTAGATATAAACGGCAGTTTGGAGATAGGTCTGTAATTTTTGGGTATGGAGGGGTCTAAGCTTGGCTTTTTGGAAAGCGGCTGCACAGTAGCCTGTTTGAAAAACGATGGAACACAGCCTGATTTCAGGGAGGTGTTAATAATGGAGACCAAGCTAGGGCCCACAGAGCTAAAAACCTCTTTCAGCAAGGATGTTAGTAAGATGTCTGTTGGACTGGAGGAGGATTTAATGGTGCTCACAAGCTCAGTCAGATCCAGCAGAGTAATAGAGGAGAAACTGCTAAGAGAAGCCAGTCTGGGTGGACAGGTTGGAGGGGAGGCAGCGGAGGGGGTGATACTAACCCTAACAACAACAACCTTATTCACAAAAAAAGACAGAAAATGATTACAATCCTGATTGGAAGAAACAGGGACTGAGGGGAGTGGAGGACTGATAATGTTATTAATAGTCTGGAATAACACTCTGGGGTTTCATCTGCTGGAAGTGATTGGAAATGCATGAAAGCCCTGAGTCAGGAGCGCAAACTTTTCTTTTTTTTCATTCAAGGTTACAAATAATGTTATGTTCCTTAAATGGCTTGATTTAGTTTTAAAGTTTAATTTTCTTAACAATATAGATGCCGTGTTCATCCATTCTAGTTCTCTTATAACTGCATGTTATGATCAAATAACTTCAAATCAAATCCTTAATCACTGATAAGTGTGTGTGCTTCCCCCGCCCCTCCCAACAAAAATCCTGCCCCCCCCTCAGAAAATAGTTCAGACGTCCATGATTTACTCCAAATTTATAGCAATTTCCTGTTTCATGGCGAGACATCAAAAGTAAACCCTCTGCAGCACGCATAGACACTAATTATATGTCACATTTGTGTACATCAAATATAGACCACAGCACTGAAATTTCATGTGAATCCAAAGATAAGTGTCTGGTAAGAAGTACTTCCTTTCACCACTAGGTGGCGCTATGATTATCAGGGAATATTGTCATATAAATGTGTTCAGGGTAGGACAAATATGAATCATGTCAAATTTGGTGGACAGCAGACCATTTACTCCAAATTTATAGCAATTTCCTGTTTCATGGCGAGACATCAAAAGTAAACCCTCTGCAGCGCGCGTAGACACTAATGATACGTCATGTTTGTGTACATCAAATA